TGGGGGTAAAACATTTTACCCCCAAGCCCACTCTTTAGCCCCCAGGGAAATCTGCCAACTTTCCTTACCAGCTTCTTATCTGAGGGAAACTTTTTCGTGTCGGGGTTGGCGCCTCGCTTTGTTCAGGCCGAGGGTGTCCCATAAGGTTTGTGTCCTTAGCTTTTACTCTTTTTATCTTGGCTATGAATGCCCTACCTTCCATTCTCCCCATTGCATATTGGTCATCACTTTGTGGATGACGAAATATGCAATGGAAGCTGCCACCAGGCGACAGTCAGCCCTTACACGGGTGCGACTGTCGCCTGGTAGCGGCTTTCCTTTAGGATGCGAAAGACTGGGTTTCCTATTGGGCCACTTCTCGTGGATTTAAATTTTCTAGTAAAAATCCCATTTCTTTACCTTCACTAGACGTCCTCTTGTCCCAAATATTCCCATGTATTTACATGGCGCACGTGTAACAGAATCTTATATGGTCGAGTTTCTTGGCCTTCTCTTCAATTGCCGGTTAACATGGAAACCTCACATTTCTCCTCTGCAGGCTGCCTCTGTGGTCAGCTGAATCTCCTGGAAAATTTATGCATTATTCATGGGGTGTAGATCGCCGGACTCTCCTGTTTTCATTCCACCCTAATCTTGTCCAAGCTGGATTAGGGAGACCAATCTATTCTGCAGCTTCTTCTACCACTCCCTAAGTTAATCCCCTTCATCAAGGTCTACATTTAAGCCTTGGTGCCTTTCGTTCATCCCCGGTTGAAAGCCTCTATGCTGAGGCAAATGTCCCTTCCTTAGCTGATCGTCGCGATGCTCGTTGCTTTCGTTACTTTGTCTGCTCTCATGACCTTCGTGTTCTGTCTATGTATAGGTTGGTCTCAGACATTACATAAGAACATAAGAAAGGAGGAACACTGCAGCAGGCCTGCTGGCCCATACTAGGCAGGTCCTTTACAATTCATCCAACTAACAAACATTTGACCAACCCAATTTTCAATGCCACCCAAGAAACAAGCTCCGATGTGCAAGTCCCTCTCAAATCCAACCCCTTCCACTCATGTACTTATCCAACCTAAATTTGAAACTACCCAAAGTCCTAGCCTCAATAACCCAACTAGGTAGACTGTTCCACTCATCAACTACCCTATTCCAAACCAATACTTTTCCTATGTCCTTTCTAAATCTAAACTTATCCAATTATAAACCATTACTGCGGGTTCCCCTCTTGGAGAGAGATCCTCAAGACCTGGGTTAATATCCCCTTTATTAATACCTAAACTTCCACTTATACACTTCGATCAGGTCTCCCCTCATTCTTCGTCTAACAAGTGAATGTAACTCAAGAGTCTTCAATCTTTCTTCATAAGGAAGATTTCTATTGCTATGTATTAATTAGTCATCCTACGCGAATGTTTCTAACGAATTTATGTCCATTCTGTAATATGGAGACCAGAATTGAGCTGCGTAATCTAGGTGAGGCCTTACTAATGATGTATAAAGCTGCAGTATGACCTCTGGACTTCTGTTGCTTACACTTCTGATATAAATCCCAGTAATCTATTTGCCTTATTACTACCTTAGGCATTGCTGTCCTTGGTTTAAGGTTCTGCTTACCAAAAACCCCCAAGTCCTTTCGCAATCTGTATGGCTAAGTTCTACATTATTTAACTTGTAAGTGCTAGGGTTATGGACATCCCGAGCTTCAAAAACCTTGAAATTTATCTACATTGAACTGCATCTGCCACTTTTCTGACCAAGAGTAGAGTTTGTCTAAATCCCCTGAATTTTCCCTAACATCTACGTTTGAATCAATTATCCTCCCTATCTTCGTGTCATGGGCGAATTTGCTCATATCACTGGTAATTCCTTCATCAAGATCATTGATATATATTATAAACAACGGGCCCAAGACTGATCCCTGTGGAACGCCACTTGTTACTGATCCCCACTCGGATTTAACCCCATTTATGGACACACTCTGCTTCCTGTCTGTGAGCCATGATTCGATCCACGAGAGCACTCTTCCCCCAATGCCATGAGCTGCTACTTTCTTCAACAGTCTTTGGGTCCCGGAACTCTATAAAAATGCCTTACTAAAATCTAAGTAAATAATTCAAATTCTTTATCGTGGTCAACAGTCTCAAAAGCTTTACCCGAAGAAAGTTAATAAATTAGTTAGACAAACCGGCCTCTTGTGAATCCCATGCTGAGTATCATTAATCAAGCTATGCTTTTCGAGATGGCTTCTTATAATTTGAGCTAAAAATGGACTCTAGTAATTTGCCTACAATTGAGGTCAGGCTTATTGGGCGGTAATTTGATGGTAACGACTTTCACCTGTTTTTTAAAAAAAGGGAAATTTCATTAGCCATCTTCCCCATATCAGACACTACACCTGTTTTTTAAGAGATAAATTAAAATATTAGTTAATGGTTCACAGACTTCCATTTTGCATTCCTTTAGAACCCTTGAAAAAACCTCATCAGACCCGGGGACTTATTTTTCTTCAGTCGGTCTATCTGCTTCATAACCATTTCACTAGTCACGTGATGTTACATAATTTATCTTCTGGCCCACTATAAAAATTAATTACCGGAATATTTTTATGTCTTCCTGTGTAAAAACCGAGAGAAAATAATTATTAAAATCGAGCACATTTCATTCTTTGTCAGTAAGATGCCCATAGTTATTTTTAAGGGACATATCTTATCTCTGACTTTTGTTCTATATACCTGGAAAAAAACTTTTTTGGGTTAGTTTTTAGAATCCCTAGCAACTTTAAATTTCATAGTCCCTTTTAGCTTTCTTATCCCCTTTTAATGTCCCTCTTAATGTCAATATACTGATTCATAAGATGACCCTCGCCTCTTTTGATACGCTTATAAATTCCTTTCTTATGCCCTAGTAGATATTTCAGCCTATTATTCATCCATTTTGGGTCATTTCTAATTGATCTAATTTCTTTATAAGGGATAAATGTTCTTTGAGCAGCATGTATTGTGTTCAGAAAACTGTCATATTGATAGCCCTCTTCGTTACCCCAGTCAACAGATAAGTGTTCTCTAAGCCCATCGTAATCTGCTAAACGAAAATCTGGGACTGTTACCTGGAGTTTACCTGGAGAGAATTTCGGGGGTCAACGCCCCCGCGGCCCGGTCTGTGACCAGGCCTCCTGGTGGATCAGCGCCTGATCAACCAGGCTGTTGCTGCTGGCTGCACGCAAACCAACGTACGAGCCACAGCCCGGCTGATCAGGAACTGACTTTAGGTGCTGAGTTATCCCTACTATCATACTTCCATTCAATTCTAAATGTAATTGATTTGTGGTCGCTAGCACCCAGTTCCTCTGAAACTTCTAAATTATTAACAAGGGATTCATTGTTTGCCAGAACTAAGTCAAGCAGGTTATTACCCCTTGTAGGTTCTGTCACAAACTGCTTCAAAAAACAATCCTGAACTACTTCTAAGAAGTCGTATGATTCTAAATTCCCAGTCAAGAAATTCCAATCAATATGACTAAAGTTAAAGTCTCCTAGAATTACTACATTATCGTGCCTTGTGGCCCTAACAATTTCCTCCCATAGTAGTCTTCCCTGGTCCCTATCTAAATTTGGGGACGGTATATCACACCTAAAGTTAATTTTTCATGCCCCTCTGAAAATTCTATCCAAACAGACTCTGTATGTGTTACTTCAGACTTAATACCCGTTTTTGTGCAACAGTTCAAGCGATCTCGGACATACAATGCCACCCCACCCCCCTTCCCGATACTTCTATCTACTTGGAACAATTTGAAACCCTGAATGTGACATTCTGCAGGCATGTCCCGACTTTTTGAATTAAACCACGTCTCGGTAATGGCAAATACATCTATGTTACCTGCACTAGCAACTAGTCTCAACTCTTCCATCTTATTCCTAGCACTGCGACTATTTGTGTAATATATACTTAAGGACCCTCCTTTCTCTTTATCATTCCTGCTCCTTTCTGTTATTCCACTAAACCTATTCCTGTCATTGTCAATTAGTGCCACTGGCTTTCCGATATCCACCTCATTTTGGCCTATTACTAGTTCTCCTAGTACTCATAATACTACCCTGAGACTTCAACAGTTTTTCCCCCGCAAAAACCCATACCACAAACTATTCCTAGTTTAAAGACCAAACAGCTCCCTCCACTGCGTTGGCCAGTGCTCCCACCCCCACACCTAGAAAAAGTGAACC